TTTACAGCTTCTTAAAGCAAATATAAAGATGTGCAGGATATTACAAGGAAAAAGCCACATTAAAAATTAATCAAATCCTTGTTACAATTAGCAATTTAGAAAACTTAATTTATTCACTTACGTTTAGTGGAAAGATGTGCTTAGAGATCATCATCAGCAAATGAGGCTTGGGGTGACAGAATAGAGACTCCTATTTTGCTGTACCAAACTGTTACTGCTGTCAACTTATGTCAGCGTCTTCTCAGAGATCATACCCTGGGTGTGCCATTACTGAAGGAACAGTTTTGGAGGCCAGCTCTTTCACGGGGCAAAATACCCAGGACACAGTACCACTCACTCAGCTACTTATAACTGAAAATTGATAATTATTGCCATGACTACCAAAAGGTAACATGTTAAAAAAAAAATTATTGTCAAACAGAGCAGAGATCACAAGGAACAGAATTATGGTAAGAGCCCTCTGTGACATGTTTACGAAAATGGCATAGCTTCTGAGCAGTGTCAGGCAGAGAATTAAGTAGCTGCTTGAACCACCCAAAGGTTGATACAGAAGCTGTAATCATTGCCACCTGTAAAAAGCCTCTCGCCTTCCATCCTATTGAAGTCTGTAGCACAGCTGGACCATAGCTTATGTGCTGACAGCAGCCAGGTGTGCGCAGATATCAGTGACTGATTGCAGCTCTCATCCTAAATGCTCCTTCTGCCACGCTGTTGAAGCAATCGTAATTAAATTACTCACTAGAGACCTAGCTGCATTTTGGGGATCACAAAAGGATAAAGTTGGCTAGCTTTCACAATTGAAAAAAGGAAACGCACTTCTGTCAGGGCACCTTGAGAAGTTGAAATGTGCAGAAGAAGCAATTGCAAAAAGCACCTGTCACTCAAATTCCCTCTTTCTCAGCCAAAACAGGAACACCCAAATTCCTCCCCCTGATGTTGACAACACTACCCATCCCAGATGACTCCCAAAGGGAACATGGGGCAAGCAAGATCTTGACAAGCAGTCTGATCTCATGTTTTACAGCTGTTACTGAAGGGAGGGGAAATGCCCTTCATCAGTACACAGAAAATCAACAAGCATTCTTAAACCATTCAAGTGCTAAAGCAGTTATGTAGTGGGTTATTACTAAGCATCAAAAAAATACATGGTGCTTTAATAAGTAGCATGAGATCCTTGCCCTAAAGATGTTACAGTTCTTGAAGTTGCAGCACAAATGAAAATAAACAGGGGTAAGAAGGGCAAAGGCAGGGTCCACAACCTAAATCACAATGGTACACTTTACATCATGTACTGAAGTATGCAGTTGCACTTCCCTCCCCTTTTATCCCAATTCTCATAGGATAAGGTCATTCAGAGACAGGAGACATCAAAGGCTTAGGGTAGGAACTGAAAATGAACCATCAGACAGAAAACACTAGTTATACTAGAGGGTATGTAAAAGAGCACTGAGTAAGCATGGACAAAGCATGAAGCAAGTAAGATGTGGGCAGGGTGCCTGACCTGCTGTAATGAAGCATGATTCACTCACGATAAATCAGAGGTGACTCTTGCTTCATGTAGGGCGATGTCTCTGTAGTATCAAAGGCAAATCCCTAAGCATGCTGATATTTAAACAGCTGACTGGTTTAGCCATGCATGACTAATGAAGTCTATGCAGATTTATCTTCTACACACTAGCAACCTCTTGCTCTCTGACTCAGTAAATGATAAGCTGGGTACATCAGAAATGAATGGGTGTTAATTTAACATGAACTACAAAGAGAGTTTCTGTAAGTAAATCAAGCTGAGCATGCGGGGGGCATTGACATTAAGGGAGGTCATGAAATCTGGAGAAAAATTGGCCCAGATGGTAAAAAGCACAAAATACTGAGGGAGAGGGAGTAGGGTCCATCTCCCAACCAGGGTTCTTAATTCTGCCACGGAGATAGCTGTAACTTCTCAGTGGCACAGACAACACAAGTGTAGAGTGCAAACGGCTCATGAGCGCATCAGAATAAAGCCACCACCACCAGTTACTACTTTAGCCATTTGCTCTGCTAGCGGTCTCTTCTAATGACTGTTCTGCCATGCTATTTAAGCAGGGGTGAGAGAAGCTGGTTCTGCTACTGCCTTTTTGCGACCTAGTCTGCAGGTTATGGTCCAGAAGCACCAATCCACTTAGGTACTCATTCACTTACATGGGGGGCAGGGGAAGGAAGGACATTAGTGGAAGAGGGATAGGTCTGCTCTGACATCCCTGGCACCTCACCTAGAACATACATGTGGCACAGGCGCCAGCTTCAGTCTTCCTCACTCAATCCAAAATGCTCTGTGCTTCATGCTGAAGTATTAGCCTTAGACTTATTCTGCTAATTTTGACATCTTTCCTCTTAAGTCAAGGAGGGGGAAAAAAAAAGTTTGGCTAGTGAGTAAGCCTCACTCTCTATGATTACAGTTATCAAAAGCTCTTCCTGTGACAGTGGTAAATTAATGAACAAAGGAGCAAAGTCACCATGACTCCCTTTCCCTCTAATCCTTCCCTCCTCCAAACGTGATTCACAGAAAGACAGTAGAAGCATATATGTTGACGTGGAAAGGGATCTTGGATGAAAACTTAACTTGTTACACAAAAAGAACAACAGCCCTGTATATTACATCTCCCCCAGACAAAAAACAAACACCACTTAACCAAACAATCACATTGCAAGGTTAGAGGATTGCTCCGTTTATCAACAGGCTCTTTGAAAAGTATGCAGACTAAAAGCATATGAAGATACGCACACAAGAGGACAAACATGGGCTGCTTTTTCACCGAACAGAAGCTTGTTTTTAAGCCAGGTGGATGTAACAAGCCAGAGTTTATAAATAAATTAATAAATAACACCCCTAGAAAGCCAATCAACAGTCAGCAGATGGACTTAACTGTTTCAACAACAACAACAAAAAACAGCTGTTTGAAAAAGTGCTTTATACCCAGTTTGCACTAGTCGTTGCTGCAGGTTATTGATCTTTTACAGACAAACAGCCTACATTAATACATACTTGTGTCAGCCTGGCAATTTCTCCTGGAAAGCTTGACCCTCAGCGTGACCCATCTGCATGAGGCACTGAGTAACAAGCAGTGTTTCCTATGATCTAGTTTGACATACATATACCATTCCCATTTGCTAGATTGCTGAAGCCTCTTTTTTATACATTCTCTCTGTACAGAAAAGGAAATGTCATTGTTTGACCTGATAGATAACAGAAGTTAAAGAATTTGTAAAGCTGTTCATAGGACAACAGTTTAAATACATGCTGCATCTCAGGTAACTTGGAGTCTTTGGCTACCACGTTTTCATCTTGTATTGTGGTGAAAAACAGTGACAGGGTAGAGTTCCCTCCACATGCAAGACACTTCATTAACATTGCGTGTTAACTTCTAATTCTGATACTTTATCTGCTCAAAGTTACACATTCGAACAGCCTAAGCAACAATTTGGCATGCCAAGGTTGTTTAACATCCCTCAGTATCAACTGCAGTATATTAAGGCTGACTTCCTACATCTTAGAGTAATAAACGAATTCTAAAAATAGGTTGAAAGCCCAGATTTATTGAATGTGATGCTGGACTCAATAAAACATCTGTAAAGATTGAAGAATGAGGAACCACTTCAAAAAATTAAAACAGATCTTAAATGGCAAGGAGAATGGAACTAACATATGCCAAATAGCACCATTGCGTCTATTTCTAACTTTCTTTATAGGTGTTAGTACTGGCTAGTATGCAGGGCAAACCTTTAAACACACTTTTGTACCACAGACCTTCTCAAATAAATTTGAGGGTAGGGGTTGTCTGTGGGGTTTTTTGGTGGTGTTTTTTAACATTGGTACAAGAAATTATACAACTCCAAATGAAGCATATTAAAACTGAAATTAATGGAAGCTATGGGGCCATAAATTCTTACCCTGAGGAATCTTGATTCCTACAGAGTAAAAAAAAAATCTGAAACAGATCTACACAGCAACAGCTAAAAATTTGTGTCATCACTTGCACTATGTCTTTAAATCCTTGTCTTATTAAACATTAGTGAATGTACAAACGTGTCTATAGATGTACAACGTGCATTTCTGCCACCTGAGCTCAGAAACAGCAGTTCTAAGACAGTTGCATCTGAATTGGGAATCTTAACAGCCCAGTACTGGGACAAAACTTAAAACAACAAAAGCATATGAGCACATCAAGCTTTCTTGAGTACTGATAAGATTGAATTACTTTGCAAAGTTTATACTAGGAAACAAAAAATCACACTTACCAACAGTTAACTGGGGATGATCTAAAAAGATCACCAAGAATAATTTAAGAGAACACCAGACATGCCATTTAACTCAGAGGCACTGAAATATTTTGCATGAAACACATGGTAATGCAGATTTTTCCAGCGTGGGTGTTTGAGCTGATTAACAGAAAGACAAAATATATTCAGCTAGTTCTCCTTTTGCTACCATTTCCACTGTGTAAAACTAGACCTGTTCTATTGACTTAAATATTCCATATTTACATCAGTGGGAGACCACAATTTGCTCATAAAATAAAAATAGCCATCTACCAAATTAATAGAATTAGAGTCCTGTGGTAAAAAAAGTTCTACCAAAGAGCCTGATGCATTTCTAAACAGCAGCAAGGCTATTATTTAGAGTTACAGAGAAGTTCTCTCCCCCTGACATTACTTGCACTAAAATCCAGTCTAAAGAACATGTAATTCAATTAACATACAAGTGCCTGTATTTCCATTAGACTCGGGTATAATAGCAACTATATCTATCATATCCTGTTCCAAAACAGGAACAGGAAGGAAGCCTTCTCCCTCTCCACAACCCACACCATAACTTCATCAGGTAACCAGGAGTAGAATTCTGTTTTCAGTGTCCTGATACAAGGCAATGACTAAAAAGAAAAACACAGAAAGATATTATACGCACTTTTTGAAGATCCTTGCTGAAGTCTCATTGTGTTCCAGGAGGAGTCCACATGACTTACCTTTCCAGACCATTTTGAAACCCACACCCCTCTGTAAACACTTTTAAATCACCAGCCAGGCCTGACACTGGGAGGCTGGCTACTACATTGCCCATGCCACCTGCACTCATATCAAACCCCCATCTCTTCTCTGCATGGTTTCTAGCTGCCAACTCTAAAATGCAGCAAGGAATCCCCAATTACAGACATAGGAACTTGTCTTGCTGCCACTTCAGAGCCTGCTCAAAGACATTAGCAACAGCATAACAAGGACACTGCAACATTCTGGAGCTGTGAAGTCCAGCACTTCAGAAACAGAACAGACAGTATCAATAATCTCTTCAGAGATTTCCAGGACATTGACTTAAATGCAGCCCAACAAGTTTCGAAGTAGGATTTCTTTTACACAACAGGTTTATAACGTGCTGTGGTTAGCAAGTCTAAACTGAATGGCTGAACAAGTAGTGCGAGAATAGGAAACTGGGTGTCCAATTGACAAAAGCAAACCAAAACAAAAATGCAGAAAATCAGAGCCAAATCTTGTGGCTCCAATATGAAATGTGTCTTCTGGACCCAAAGGAGTCATTCTGGATTCCAAAACAACCCAAAACCAGACGTGGCATTACAGCCTATAAATCTGTGTCTGTAGTGCCCTTCTGATACTGTCCTTGTCAAAGAACAAATGCTAATAAGCCTCTCCAATACCCATTTGGGAGAACTATGCTGAGAGAAAGGGGACCAGAGTCCCTTCTGGTCTTAAAATTTACACACACAACGAACCGAATTATTGAGGCCTACCATTATGCTTAGTACAGCGCTCAGTGTTCTCCTTTATTCAGTGCCTTGGAGTGGGGAGGAAAAGGGGACTAACTGTCGCCTTAAATAACAATAGTGGGAAGAGAATAGAGCTGATCTGCTCGCTCAAGGCAGGAGCAAAGACCATATGAGGATGAGCAGAGGGAACGTCTGAAAGCTGATTATCTGCCCCTTACAGGAAGACTTATAGGTTTTGTTCAATTATTTTATGAGAGATCTTAAGAGTAATTGTCCAGGAAAAGAACATACAATGTTTTGAGATGAAGCTAATCAATATGCCAAGAAGCACAACACCGTTGTTGTATGTTCAGTTGACAACCTGCTTTTAACTGAACAGTGTAGGAAACAGTACCCTATTTTTCATCTTAGCATACAACTAGTAAGTCAGTAGAAGACAATCTAGAGCACTGCTCAGCAGTTTTACATGGATTCCATGTCTTTGTCACTGAGGTTTGAATGAAAATCTCAAAGCATAATTCAGTACACAAAACCTAACCATTTTGTACCTATGTAAGTATTACACAGAATACATTTAAGTCATTCTTCCTCTGAAACAGGAAATCCATTAGTATCAATTACCATCATTAGTCTGGTTGAGTTAGCTTTTAAAAAGAAGGAAAAAACCTCAACCCTAACACATAACAAATTGCGTATTTTCATTCTAACAAGGAAAAAAGATAACCTGCTGTATGCTTCAAAGAAGCTTTCCAGGAAACAAAGTTTGGCTTTGACACTGGAAAAGTTGTATTTTGATTGCTAGTAAAGCTAATTATGTGTTCTCTGTGTTCCCGTCTGTCAGAACTGACAGCTCACCAATCCAATGGAAACATCTACTTACGGTCATTACACTGGCTCCCAGAATACGAAGTCATGGAACAGTCACAGGTAAAGCCTTCCCATTGCTGATTACAGATGCCCTGATTCGCACAGGAATCTTCCTGGCAGGTAGTACTTGGTCCTGGAGAAAGGAAGACAAGAAAAGCATGAAATAAAGCTGAGAGATAATTTTAGTCAAGCCCACAAAAGCTCCAATTCATCATTACCATTACTATCAGCACCCTCATGCAGAAGAGGAAAAGCACTAACCAAACACTTTTCCACTCTTGGACATGCAACAAACTCAGATAAAAAGAGCACAAAGACAACTGTATGCTCCATGACAAAACAGCAAACACAGAGCAAAGAGGAAGAGTAAACAGCAACATATTCCCTCTTAAGCAGACTCAACTCATACATTCGGTGCTTGCTCAAAGAAATTTACTGTAAAATACGGTGTGATGCAAGGATAACAAACACTGCCAGGTTGTTGTGCTTCTCTGGAAGTTTGATTCCCTTGTAGAAATGCAGGCTAGGAAATGGACACATGAAAAATGCTTCATCCTACCCAAACCATCCTGATGTGTGGATTCAAACTGAGGTTTTGAAGACTCAGTTGGCAACAACTTTGTTTCATAGGTTCAGAAAAAACAAACAAAACAAAACAAAACAAAACAAACAAAACAAAACAAAAAAAAAAAAAAACCAACCCAACCACCATCAGAGACTCTGACCAGTCCCATTACACAGGTCCCTCTGGAAACATGTCAATAAAGTCCTCAGAAGGACATAACATTAGTCCATGACACCTCTCTATTCTGTATTGGTTTCCACAGCCTTTGGGGGAAGCCAAGAAGGAAGCAGCCACTACTAACAGAACAGCTTTTCATTGTTCTGTGGTTTGGAGCTAACAGTTTCTATCCTACTCAGATAAACCTTGCAAAGACACAACCCAAGCAAGAGGCAAAAATGTGATCTTTAGATAAGACAGACTCTGAATGACAGCTAGCATGTGATCCACAAGGAGGTAGCTGGATTCTGGATCACCTGAGAGCAAACGTGAAGCTGCAAGTCACAGATTATAAGAACATAAGTTTAGAAGTTACTTTCTGAGAAAGTATTTTATCTTCAGCATTCTAAACAAAGATATGCCACTCCTGTTGTGACGTATTTAAAGTGTACAATTATAGTTGACATACCTACTATTCTATATCTTGCACTTATTGGAAAAGAAGAAGAAACAAAAGAAATAGAGTAGAAGATCAACTGGCTAGGCAAACTGAGATCAGTTTGTTAACCACCTCCAGTGTAACTCAAAGGTCAATAGTATAAAGATAAAGCCACAACTGTTCTACCCATCCCAGCACCTTCCATCACAGTCTTTGTCAGCAACAGCAATTCTATGAGGCTCACCCTGCTCTTCATCACATCAGCACCACCATCCGTACTTCATAGATGAGATAGGAGACACTAAAGTGGAGATAGCATTTTCAAATGTTTTCAATGAAACCCTTCAACCTCCATCTGACACCACCCACACTGTTTTCACTGAGTCCTATAGTTATACAATGTCTTTGATTTTCAGACTGTGCATCTAGGCACTTCCACATTTAACAGCCTTTGTAGAACCCTTCTAACTGGAAGCCCCACATAGAACGGCAGAATGGTTTGGATTGGAAAGGACCTTTAAAGGTCATCTAGTCCACCCCCCCTGCAATGAGCAGGGACATCTTCAACTAGATCAGGCTGCTCAGAGCCCCATCCAACCTGACCTGGAATGTTGCCAGGGATGGGGCATTTACCACCTCTCTGGGCAACCTCTGCCAGGGTTTCACCACCCTCATGGTGAAAAATTTCTTCCTTATCACTAGTCTAAATCTGCTCTCTTTTAGTTTAAAACCATTACCCCTTTTCCTATTGCAACAGGCACTGCTATAAAAAGTCGGTCCCCATCTTTCTCAGAAGCCCCCTTTAAGTACTAGAAGGCTGCAATAAGGTATCCCCGGAGCCTTCTCTTCTCCAGGCTCTCAGCAACCCCAACTCTCTCAGTGTGTCCTCATAGGAGAGGTGTTCCATCCCTCCGATCATTTCTGTGGCTCTCCTCTGGACCCTCTCCAACAGGTCCATGTCTTCCTGTGCTGAAGGCTCCAGAGCTGGACGCAGTACCCCAGGTGGGGTCTCACCAGAGCGGAGTAGAGGGGCAGAATCCCCTCCCTTGACCTGCTGGTCACACTTCTTTTGATGCGGACCAGGACACAGCTGGCCTTCTGGGCTACGAGCACACATTCCGGGCCCATGTCCAGCTTTTCATCCACCAGTACCCCCAAGTCCTTCTCAGCAGGGCTGCTCTCAATCCCTTCATCCCCCAGCCTGTATTGATACTGTGGGTTACCCCTACCCAGGTGCACGACCTTGCACTTGGCCTTGTTAAACCTGATGAGGTTCACACAGGCCCACTTCTCGAGTCATGCCATGATCCTCCCAACAATTCGAAGACCAAGCCAGGAAGGGACTCATAGCTTTGGTGCAGGGCTCCTGTTCTTTCCACCAAATCATCTTTCCCCACTGCAAGAACAGAATGGGTGAATTTCAGTAGCTTTTTAGCTATTTGTTTCCTTACATCTCTCCTGCAATGAGAAGGAACATGTCGCTGTCAGTATAGAGAGAGTTTAACTGAACATTAACCAAAACCTGAGCTTCTTTTACGGTCTGTTACACTGTTGGGAAAAAAAAACCCAAAACCAAAAAACCACAACAAACCAAAACCCCAAAACCTTGAAGTAGAAGCATAAATGTAAATAACAAAAGCAGACAACAAAATCCCTGAACAAAAATTCACGTATTGAACCGACGCCGCAGCAGCAGCCACAGCATGTTACCATACTTAAAGGAAGTTGAGCAGCATTTTTCAACACTTTTCTCCTTCCCTCTGCCTCTTCTACCCACCCACCTGACTCTTATTTGCAGCTGTATGAATCCCAGTGGTCTCACTGGCACAATGTGAAGTTAACAGATCACTTCTAGGATTACAACAGTGCTGACAAACTATACAGTGTGGGCTGGTAGGCACATGTATGTACATGCTTCCCTCCTGCCTTTATATGTATAAAAGACATGGATATAACTATATAGATATACATGCATCAGGCTGCTGTCCAACACTTGCTTCAGACGTACTATGGCCCAGCAAAAGAAGGGATGACATTTAACAATCTGAAATAGAGTATTAGTTGTCACTTTGCCTAAAATGGAGGATAAGGAACAGGGAACCGATACCTCTCCTGCACGTTACTATTCCATTATCTAACCTCTAACCCTAAATATGAATGCCAATACTCCTAGAGGTATAAACAGACAAGTTAAATATATTTAAAAAATAAAAACAGAAAGCAATTGTGACTATGGAAACTTGCTACAGCATACTGTAAACACCCCTACATAGAAGCAAAGCAGAATAGCATTTTCAATGATGTTTCTCTTCTCTTCCTACACTCTTATGAGAGCACTCAGGTTAATCAGTAACTGGACTCGACAATGGGCATCATCTAATGGAGATATCCTTTGTCTAGATACCACAAGAAAAAGGACCAGAAGTCTACTCAAGGACTAAGACTGCATGAGGCCTAGTACCTGCGGCTTGAGGTGTTCACAGTGAGAGAGTCCACAGAGCCAAGGGACTTGAATTCATGACCAGTATTGTGGTTTCTGCATTGTATTTTACAGAAGCCAGCTGTGAAGATGGAAACAGTACTTTCAAAGGAGCCAGAAAAAAAAAAAAAAGAAAAAACCACACAATGATGAGGAATTTTGAAAGCCTGACAATACCACAAGGAAGCTTGAAGCCTGATCTGCCATCTTTAGAGTTGGTTGTGATGGCACAGCGTAGATCCTGGGTATTATGCTTTACCTCACTGCTTAGTACTATGGGCCATTGGCATAGTAAAAGGATCTTTGTCTCTGAGAGTTCATCTACTCCCTGCTGCTTACAGTCATTGCCTGGTGTCATAATCCTCCATCTGTGGCGACAGCATTTTGTTCAGAGCAACTAACAGGGATGTCACAGGTGATTAGGATTTTGGATTAGGGAACAAAGCAACTGAAGCACAGAAAGACTTATAAAACATGAAGATTGTGTTACAATGCACATATCTTTTAGTGTTAACGAAGAAGGAAAGAGAAGACAACAAACAATTTATATATACAGTAGGAGAACTGGTTCTAAAATACCAATGTCATCAGGGTTCAGATCTATTTTTAATCTCATTCCTTTGGCAACACTTACAGCATCTGAAAGTATTTAAAAGCAAAGTTTCAGAACTAATCTTCACGTAATAATCTGAGATACATCTGAAAAAAAATCATACTATACTTACTAATTAAAAAAATACACATGCTGACTAATTTTCTCCTTAAGTTTCTACCACCCTGGCAACACTTGCTATTTCTGTTGAGTGCTTTTTGTTCAAAGACCTTGTTTTTGTTGTCTGTTTGTAGCTGGGCTTGGTGCATTGTCTTCTTCATGCCACACGCACAGTGGAAAGTGGAGTGTGCAGTACATCTAGAATAAAAGTGGAGAAGTCTCCAGTGTAGAAAAGCATCCCTGCTAGCAGAAGCACGACTTGCTCCATCTCCTCCTGTCCAGATTAAGCCTACCAACAGAGGCAACTCCTCAGGAACATGAGATGGCGAAGCAGAATTCTTCAACAATGTCCATTTGATCTTTATTTCTACATCTCTAATTTTTACTGAAACAGCTCAGTATCTAAGGACTTGCAGGATCTGAGATCTTTTTGGGTCTCCCTCCCTGGGAAGGAGTTCAGTATTACACTTATCTTCCAAGTTACATAGCTAGATGTATGATTTATTAGTTTTACCTCTATGTATTTGAAGAAAATCACCTTAGAGTACAGTAGCCAGATCTCTCATACATATTCTGCTTGGAAAAAGTACTTTGTTGCCCTAACTATTTCTGGTACTTTCAGCAGTATGGTAGGCTTCTCTTTGCCCTGAAACTAAAAAAATTGAATTCTACTGCTCAGGATTGCTAAAACTGCCACGTTTCATTCCACAGGTGGGTGCATTTCACTGGCAAAAGAAGTCATTCACACTGTGTCATTTCAAAGCTCTTTACAGCAAAAGGAA